AATTCCTACCTCTATTGGCCTAGACGAATCAAATCCCTACATCTCCGAAATCCTATCAAACTTAGAAAACAAAGAGGAAATTATAAAAGCTGAAAAAGAATTATTTTCATTCCAAAAGTTACAATACTTAGATAAAATAATATATTTCATATTCACGAAAGTCCACTACTTCGACGAAACACCCTATCCTGCAATATATGAAACACTGCAACGAATAAAAAACAAAATCCTTCAAACAAATGACGTAACAGATATCGCAATATCTGACTTCCGGAACCCTTTCGACAGACTTTCCCACTCCAAAATCTATAATATACTTACTTACATATTCAACAACTCTAAAATCTCTATACATATTTATCGTAATCAAATAATATATCCTACTCTAAGTGAAAGACCAAAAATCCTTCGGGATAACCACGATATCCCAATAGCAGGACATCTAGGCTCAACCCGGATGTATAATAGGATTCAGGACCAATATTATTGGAAAGGAATGAGAAGCGACATAGAAGACTATGTCAAGAAATGCAAAGCCTGCCAAGAAAATAAAGCTCTCAGGAAAATAAACAAAGCCCCTATGGAAATCACTACTACATCCACTGCTCCCTTTCAACGCGTAGCTCTAGATATCGTAGGATCTCTACCCGAATCCGGAACCGCTAAACTCCGTTATATACTCACCTTACAAGACGACCTAACAAAGTACTCTGTAGCATACCCCATACGTAGCACGACAGCCGAAGAAACCAGCGATTGCCTCATTCACTTCATCTCCTTATTTGGAATACCCAAATCAATCCTAACAGACCAAGGGACAAATTTCACGTCCGACCTCTTCAAAACCACATGCCAATTCCTAAAAATCAAGCAGTTATGGTCTTCACCCTATCATCCACAAACTCAAGGAGCACTAGAACGCAGCCATTCCACTCTCAAAGAATATCTAAAATCATTCGTCAACACAAATCAAAATAATTGGCCAACTTACGTCTATACCGCTATACTTACATACAATACCACTCCACACACCACTACAAAATTTACCCCTTATGAGCTAGTCTTTGGACAAAAACCCTATATTCCAAATTCTATATATGAAAGAAGCTCCGGAACAACCTATTCCGACTATGTTAAAATGTTACAACACAAACTTAAATATACACGAGAAATGGCGGTAGAAAACATTTTAAAATCCAAAGAATCCTCCAAAGCTTATTACGACTCTCACACCAGAACTCCTCCCCAATATAAATCCGGCGATTACGTTTACCTCAAAAACCATTTAAGACAAGGAAAGGCACTCTCACCCGTCTGGAAAGGACCTTTTAAAATAATTCGCATCCACAACAACAATACGGCCACACTATTAATTAATAGACGTCACATAACTCATCACTTCGACGAATTCAAACCGGCTGAAATGTCCGGAATAATTTAATTTAAAGTTAAGTATTAGTCATCTAGAAATATTATAATCTATATTAATTTTAGTAAATAAAATGTTACTGTTTTAATTTCTATTAAATATCTTTACATTCATATTTCATTTATATCACTTTCAGTGTCTCGTCCCAGGCGCAACCGGAAATGGTTCAGCCGCTTCCTTCTAGCTCCGGCATCTACTTTGATAAGATAGGGAAATTAAAAATAATTAGAGGTAAATTAGACGTTGTTAGCCACATAGACATTTCTTATATTGAACCGCACTTAACTAATCTTAACGAAATTCTAAAAACTGTAAAAGTTCTATGTCAACAATGGAATAATCTTTATTGTGATAACACGTTGTCTCCTTTAACAACTCGTTTGAATGACATCAACCGGGAATACGACTCAATCTCCCATTTAATATTTAAACGTAATAAACGTTCCGCGTGGTTTAGTGCAGTAGGCACTGTATTCAAACACATCTTTGGTACTATGGACGAAGAAGACGCCATAAGATACGACTCCGCCTTAACCTCGGTTCAAAAGGACGAAAAGGAACTCGCCCAGCTCCTAAAAGAAAATATTTTAATAACGACTACCTCATTTAATACATTTAATAAAACTATAAGCAAAATAAAATACAACGAGGAAATATTAAATAACGCATTAAATACAATATTAAACAATACAAATATTATCACCAATGACTTATTAATTGAATCAAAGGTCCATTCAGTATTTAGTAGCCTCGAAGCTTCGTTACTAGCCTTATCATTCCAATTGGAGGACATAACCAACTCCATTGTTCTAAGTAACCAAAACATCCTACATCCGAGTGTATTGTCCCCGACGCAACTATACAAAGAACTCATTGATAACGATAGGCACCTACCTAGAGACACAGGGATACCCATAGCATTAAGCACAAATAATATTCATTTAATTTTAAGTATTTCCGATGTTTCGTGTTATTTTCTAAATAATAAAATTGTTTTTATCCTACAAATCCCTCTTACAATGAATGAACAATTTAACCTTTACCATAGCATAGCTCTACCTATTCCTCATAACCTAACCAGCCTGAACATCTTTAGTTTAATCCTACCTTCAACTCCCTACATCGGAATATCTAATGATAAGTTAAGCTACTGTAATTTAGATAATATAAATAATTGTAAGTCTATACGCTCTGAGTTCTACCTGTGTAAAGTCCCGACCATATCATTAACAAGTGGTAACCCTACATGTGAAAGTGAACTTCTCACTAAGATATTCAGTGCTCTACCCGTTCAGTGCGAAACTAAAACACTATATAGTGAAATGGACATCTGGAAACCACTAGTGAACAATCGGTGGATTTTTGTGCAATCTCGTCCAAATAGGATAACCATCGACTGTGGTATCTCAGGATTAAAAGAGCCAATTATACTCGGTACGGGTATCCTAAATATTCCCGCACAGTGCACAGTGTATACAAAGAGCACAAGGCTCGTGTCGTCTGACGACACTTTGAACATTAATATTCCTACGCCTAGTTTAGACTTTAATATAATTAATGATCCCTGTTGTAAACCTAATGTATCCTCTAGTATTAAGAAATATTCATCTCCTATTTTACTACAAAACATAGATCTAGATGATTTCACAAATAATAAACAAAATTTAGAAAACCTTTCAAAACTCGATAATATAATTAATAAACCCTTGGTAGTAAAATACGGGACACACCATATAACAATAGCCTCTGTTATATTAATAATCATTGTGTTAGGTTTTCACTTAATTAATTTTCTAAGAGTATAGTTTCTGTTTAAGCAATTGACATTTTATTGGTAAATTAACTTAATTAGAATGGCACAACACTACAGTAAGAGAGGGGATGTGGTCAGTTGCACGAAGCAAAGGGCATAAAGTGGGAGACAGCCGTGGGAGACAGCCGTGGGAGACGGTTGGGTTAGTGACGAAACATAGATTAAGACCAAATAAATGTATAATATATAAAGTTTAAACTAAAGCCTCAGGACGAATAAAAGTGTAAGCAGTAATCGGAGAGTCTTTTATTATACTTCAGAAGTGGTAAGTACCCGTTTCTTTTATTATACCTGTAAGTATATGTTCTGATAAAAAAAAAAAGTTTTATTGTAAACAATTTTATTGACTCGTTTATGATTAAATGGTCCTAGACTTTAACCCGTTGAGTACCGGGGGAACCAATTCATACAGCTATACCGCGCTGTTATTTTCGTCTTAATAAATATAGAACGACAGTATATTTTCAATTAGAAACTATTTTATTCAATTCTGAACGAAGTAAAAAGTATTCTCAAGTATTAAGCTCACTCGGTTACATAGACAAAATTAAAAAAAAAAATTGGCATTCACTTTCGCGTTGTTGGTGATGTTAGTTGCGAATTGTTTTCTTTTTGTATTTATGATTTCTGTTGGATTTTCTTTCAAAAACTGGTAAAAAAAAATGTTAATTATTTTTGCCAGATAATGTTTTAGAATGATTTAAGTTACAACAACAGAAAATTTTTGTGTTTCAATTGATAAAAAAAAAGATAAACAAAACACCAACATACGCCAACAATTTATAAAGGTCAAAATTTCAAATAGATCTACCTTCTGAGATATTTAGCCTTTTATAGATAGTTTATTGCGTGTATATTCATAAAAATATTATTTCAAAATGTTTTATCTATATAACTGTATATAAAAAAATAAATAAGACGCTGTAATATTTTCACAAAAAGGTTTTGAAATGAGGTTACAAGGAGGCTCGCGCAAACTGTCTCCTGTAGAATTTTTAGCAAATGTTTGCGGATAAAGAAGTAGAACTATTTTAATGATTACATACATCATTTCGGTTCATTTTAAAATAAAATAAAATCATACGCTTTTTCATTCCTAAAACCAAATTTATTGGCAGTAAATACACTTTTTCAAGATCCCTTAGAAACAAAGAGCTGTACAAAACTAAATAAACATCCAAATGTTATTGTTATTGTTTCTACTTATCGACAATCTTATCAGCTTTAAAGAACTGTAACTTAAACCTTTTGTAACATAAGGGAACAGTCGTGAATAACATTAAATGTTTTAAACAAATGCCGTGCGACAAAGCCGTTTTTGTTAGCAGGTTTTAAATTATGTTATTATTTGTTCATTTGTTTTACTTATTTCGGTAATTATTGGGTTCTTCTTATATTTTTATGCTTTCTTGCTGGTTCTTACCAGGACAGAAGTTTTACTTCAAACCAGTGGTAGTTAAACAAAGAGGACATTATTGTACTTCTTCTTATGGTAACGTATTAATAAAGTAAATTAGTTATTAATAAAATTAAAAAAGTGTAGGTCAAATGTGACAATGGCGCTACCTAACGTGTTATGCCAATCCAATTAAGACTACCCAATGCTAGATACCGCTGCGATGCTGGGATAAAAGGAGTAACAAAAATTTTGTTAATTTTTAGATAACATAGGCCGTTTTCGAGATACCTACTTAAGAAAAGTTTCAAGTCATTGAATGTATTCATAGTTGCTTTTGTTTGTGAGTTGCAGACAAAAAAATGCAGAGGGAAGATAAATCGCAACCTCGTCGTCTGGAGACTCCAGATCGTGGGGAGTCCCGACAACGAAGGGATGATGATAGGACCAGAAGCAGACGTAGCCGCACCCGCTGTGACAGTATTAGGAGTTTTAACGAACGTGGGCGACTCCGTGTAGTAGAACGAGACCTCGCTCGCGAACGGGACCGGCTACACAATCTCCAGAACGACCTGATTATGGAACGTAGTAGGAGGCTACGCAGTGTGAGTAAAAATAACGATTTCGAACGTCATGATTCCCATATTTCTGGGCGTGATACAAGTACTGGACGTAATGTTCGTTCTAGAAGTAGGGCGCTTGACCAAGGGGTGGATGACCGTCCCAAAAGAAGGCGAATTCTAGAACAAGGCCAACGATCTTTCAGTCCCTCGTTCTCAACTAAAGATGTAACTAATATTCTTAAATCACTTAAAGACTTACAGTCACAGCCGTCGACGTCCGCCCCGGTTGCACCGATTAATTCAAGTAGCTATAAAAATATTTTACCTGATTTTGATCCAACGTCGAAAAATCAACGAATAGATATGTGGTTAAAAAAAGTTAATGAATGTGCAACAGTCTACGGCTGGGACGACAAAACAACAATCCATTACGCCATGCAAAAGCTCCAGGGTTTGGCCAAGACCTGGTACGAGAGTTTACCTTCAATTCTTTTTAATTGGAATGAGTGGCAAGATAGGTTAATAAATGCTTTTCCATATGAATATAACTATGGCCAAGCTCTGGAAGATATGTTGAAACGAAAGAGCAAGTTTGACGAACCTATTGAAGTGTATTATTATGAGAAATTGGCACTTTTGAACCAATATGACATCGAAGGAAAGCGCGCTGTAGATTGCATTATACACGGGTTAACGGACAAAACTATTAAATCAAGTGCTACCACATTACGTTGTTTACAACCGGAACAGTTGCTCCGATTTTTAATGAGTAATAAAGAACTCAATCAAGCTTTTGAACGAACTTATAACAACTTTGGGTCTGGTGTAAATACAGATGTTATTAGCGTTAATAATAATAATAGATTAACAAATAAAAATAACCTTATCCAAAATAATAATATATATTGTTATAACTGCAAGGAAAAGGGTCATCCATTCTTAAAATGCCCCAAGCCTATTATAAAGTGCGGTAAATGCGATAGAATGGGCCATAAAACAGAAAATTGTTTCGCTGTTATTAATGCCAATGAGCGGCCCTGTTCATAAAACCTTGCGTATATCAAACTCAAACCCAAATTCTAAGTTTATTATAGTTCGTCAAGAAACTCGAGAAATAAACGATCTAGCCACCATAAGAAAAAAAAAAGAAATTAAAGACTCTATTGATACTCAACAAGAGAAACAAAAATTTAGATTCAATAGAGGATGACGTCCGGCCAAGGTTTATGCCGAAGGTTAGTTAAAATAACGAAAATGACTTTTACAAATGACGGAAAGAGTAGGAAACTTCTTCTTTCATACATAGGCCCATATTAGGTAATATCAGTATTGGGAAATTATAGATATAGGGTAGCAACTATTCCGGGACGAACGGGTACCAAGAACAAACGACAAACAGCTGTAGCCGCTGACCAAATGTCGCCTTGGGTCAATTTTGCCGCTTTAGATGTTAATGAATCCGATACGTCTAATGATGGTGGTAATGAGGATATATATAGATTATAGTAATAGTGATAAATAATAAAACCAAGTAATTATTTTATTTATTTATTTTAAATTTTTATTTTATTTTGTAAAATTACATCAAAAATGTCGTAAATGGACCTGTTGTGAACAATTTTATTAACAATTTTTCTACCTAAGTACCCTTCTAAGTTTCACATTCATGGTAAATATTTTGTTACAAAATATGTTATGTTAAGTTACGACGTACATTTGGATAGATAGACAAATAAAAAACAAGGATTGTTATGATTAAGATTTAGCGACATGTGTTAAGCATTGATATCTGTGAGAATGGATGGGTTCACAGTTAATCGTTTTACTTGTGCCGGTTATGAGAATGGATGGACAAATATTGTTATGATTAAGATTTAGCGACATGGGTGTTGAGCATAGATATCTGTGAGAATGGATGGGTTCACAGTTTATCGTTTTACTTCTGCCGGTTATGAGAATGGATGGGTTTGTAATCGGGCAGGTAAAGTGTTCTGCACTGTGTTCGCTTGTCAAATGTGTCCCGTTCGTAAGAATGGATGGATTTAATAATGGGACTCATTTGAAAATTGTAATGGATTAACAAAAAAAAAAAACTGCGAAGTTATGTTTTACTTGCTCAATGGGAATTGATGGGTCCAAAGAGCAATATATTAAGTACATACCAAAAGCTATTGTTAAACTTATATTCTGAATGTACCATAAGATTATAGCAATGTCCGATTGTTTTGATTAAGCTAATTAGTAAGAAATATAAATATGTACCTAATGTAAGTTTTATCTTATTGTTTTAATACTGTGAAATTATCTGTAGGCCTCGTGCATCTGACCGAATGTTAGGTTTCTTTTCAACCGTGCATGAGGACATGCACGAAGTCAGGATGGACGAATGTTAGGTTTTCACTTAATTAATTTTCTAAGAGTATAGTTTCTGTTTAAGCAATTGACATTTTATTGGTAAATTAACTTAATTAGAATGGCACAACACTACAGTAAGAGAGGGGATGTGGTCAGTTGCACGAAGCAAAGGGCATAAAGTGGGAGACAGCCGTGGGAGACGGTTGGGTTAGTGACGAAACATAGATTAAGACCAAATAAATGTATAATATATAGAGTTTAAACTAAAGCCTCAGGACGAATAAAAGTGTAAGCAGTAATCGGAGAGTCTTTTATTATAATTGTTATATTCATAGCCTTTAAATGTTACAAGTTTATAATATCTAGATCTAAGAATAATTCAAATGTATCAATTCCGACTCGTAACGATGATGATAATCATTCCATTTCACAACGCGAGGATTCACCAATACCAGCACCCCGGTTAAGAGAAATCGCATAAATTATAATATTCTGAAGCTCGGTTATTTTCCCGATCTTCAGTTTTCCGCGGGGGGCTGTTATACCCCATCAATGTTAGGAGATCGGTTAACGCATCTCTTTCACGCTGCTGCGTCAGCACCATAAAGCCTATATAACCGACCTCCCGACAAACGCCCACAAGTCAGTCGGGAATCAAGAATCAACCAGTCAAGAATCATTCTACAGTTAGTCTCGTTCCAATCTCAGTCTCGTTCATACATCGTTACTAAGTCGTTTCTATATCTTTACTAAATCTTTACTATATCATTCTAAGTCCCAGTTATTCTAAATCCTAAGTTTAATAAATCTTTGTTGTTAATTGTAATCAATTATATTGTGTTGTGTAAATAAAACCGTTTTTTAAAAAGCTCTATCCACGGTCCCGTATAATAGTACGATAAACGAATCTTTTGGTTATATTCAAATTTATCAGTATGTCAAAAATTTGAATTGGCGCGTAACCGCAACGATGTAACGTAATAACTGCAACACGGTCTTCTTTAAGCGTCCACTCCATATTTAAAAATGAGTAAAATTCTAAAAAGTATACAGTTTTATTTTCATGAACAATTCGAAATTTGAATTCAATAAACTTTTTTGTGGCCAGCAGTCTAAACGAAAAGTTTTTACTGTGTGACAATACTTATGACCTGACTAGGTATATAAGTACCTAAGCTTCATTGCAAATGGCGCAAAAATAAGATTAAGCACAAAGTTACATTAACTCCTGCTACTTTATGGTTAAACTAGCTGTTCCCCGCGACTTCACTCGTGTGTTACGGTTTTTATTTTTTTGAGCGGAACCCTGATTCTTTTTCTTAAATAAAAGTAGCCTAAGTTACTCCCAATGACATCAGCTATGTGCCAGTGAGTCTCGTCAAAATCGGTCAAGTCGTTTCGGAGATTGGCCGAAACAACAGACTGATAGACTCACAAAAATATAAAAAAATTGTATTTTAGTTATAAGTATCGTATTAATTCTTATATGCATTTAGTAAAAAGTTGTAATTTTGACATTACAAACAGACACTTCAATTTTATTTATTTGTATAGAGTTTAGTATGTTGTTATACTGTGTAGTGGCAGTGTACGAACAATGGCAAAAATTATATCAATGGGGATTGCCACATAGGGGGTATTTGCCATATGGCGGAGGCCTATGTGCAGCAATGGACTTTAATGGGCTGTAACGATAACAACGGTAACGGTAATAAGCAATAAGCTCTTAATTATCAAAGCTTGCTACTCATCTCAATCTTATTATCATCAATGATGGATAAGTATCTTTGGGCAACAATGACCGCTTACCAACGGGTGAGCTAGTTTCTCGTCACTTAAGCTTATTTAAATAAATCTATGTAAAAGGGAATTATTTATAATAATAAATAAATACTTATTTATTTCATAAACAATCACGCCTGTTACCCAGAGGGGTAGGCAGAGATTATGGACTTCCATTTGGCATGATCCTGATACACCTCTCTCGCTTCCTCCACATCCATATACCTACGCATACACGCTCGTCGGTTAAAGGTACTCTTGATTTGGCCCATTTTTAATATATCGCCAATTTGGTCGATAAACTTTCGCCTAGGGCGACCCTTCCCGACTATGCCGTTCACCTCTGCAACATAAATTTGCTTTGTCACTCTTTCCTCATTCATTCTTTCTACATGGCCAAACCACCGAAGCATTCCTTTCTTAATCCTGCTCACAACATCATCTTGCAAACCACACTCTTCTCTTATTAAACAATTTCTCACTCTGTCATTCAGATTCATCCCTATCATACTCCTTAATGACCGCATTTCTACAGCATTTATTCTACTCTCGTGCTTCTTCTGCCACACCCATCTTTCACTACCATACATTAAAGTAGGCACTAACACAGCATTGTGAATTGCCATAAGTGCCTTTTTGGACACATTCTGACTTTTCACAATAGAGTGTAGAGCCCCATTCACTCTATTTCCTGCATTCACTGGTCGTTCTATATCCTTATCATATCTACCATCCCTGTTAAACACACACCCCAAATATACAAACTCATCTACTTGCTCTACCAACTCCCTTTCTATTCTTATTTCACATATCGTTTTACTTTCTTCTCTTTCAAAAACCATAACTTTCGTCTTACTTGCGTTCACTTTCATTCCCTTTTCTTTTAATGTCCTGTTCATTAATGTAACCATCATTTGCAACTCGGCTGCCGACGACGCAAGTATGACTTGATCATCGGCGTACAAAAGGCATTTGACGGTTAACTCACCCATTCTTAACCCGCATTCTTCTACTTTCAAATTTTCCAAACAACTGTCCATAAATAGGTTGAACAACCACGGGGAAGCCACACAGCCCTGTCTGTCACCTTTATAGATGCCAAACCAGTCCGAGTAGGCCCTGTTGATCCCGAAATAAGCACTAGAGTCCCTATATACAGACTTCAATGCCTGTATCAGACCAGCGGTCAACCCAAATGAGTTCAGTGTTTGCCATAACACATCCCTGTCAACTCCGTCATAAGCCTTCTCCAAGTCCATGAACGCACAAAAAACATTTTGGTTTTTGGCAAAAAACTTCTCCGCAATCATGCGCATGGAAAAGACCTGATCCGTACATCCCATTCCCTTTCTAAATCCCGCTTGCACATCCCAAATTTTTCCATCAGTTACTTTCATAACTCTTTCAATTAGTACCTTAGCATACAGTTTTCCCACAATGCTAAGAAGGCTGATACCACGGTAGTTTTTACAGTCCTGCTGTGATCCTTTTCCCTTATATATTGGGACTATCATGGCTTTGCACCAGTCTCCCGGTACCCGCTTAAGTTCCCAACATAAATTATACAAGGTGTACAGCAGGTCTGCCATCACTCCTTCTCCAGCCCTTAGCATTTCGAGAGATACTCTATAATAACCGGCTGCCTTACCTGCTTTCATACTTTTCATTGCTTTCATTATTTCATCTATACTTATATCTCTATCTATTTCCTCTTCTTTAGGAATTTCTATTTCATTTAATTCAAACGTCTCATCACTCATAAACACGCTTTAAAAGTATTCCTTCCATCTCCTTAAACTCAAAACTTCGTCATTCAGAAAACAGCTATTCTGGTCTCGTATAGCATTCATTCTAGGCTGTTTTGAATGTCCCCTGGTAGTTCTTACGACTTTCCAGAACATTTTAATGTTTTCCTGGAAGTTATCCGATATTCTTCTATCATTCTTATCCGTTCTTTCTTGCTTTTTCCTTTTAACTACTTCTTTTACTCTCTTATTTAGGTATCTAAAAACTGTCTTTTTCCTTTCAATATCATCATTCATACTGCTAGAATTACTAGCCTTGGTTGCTAGTAAATCTAGCCATGCTTTCTTCTTTGCTTCAACTTCCATCCGTACCTCATCATCCCACATTAACGTGTTATTTTTCCTTTCATTCGTTCTCTTACTTACACCACTTACTTCGGTAGCTGCATCCACTAAACCTTTCTTGACGTTATACCACACAGTCTCCAAGTCTAAATCATTATTTATTTCAATCAATATAATATAAATTTTAAATTACATATGAATTAAATTTAAAGAAAATTGAATTATATTAAATTAAAATTATTAAAAACCAGATTAAAACCAAATTGACATCATTAAATATAAAAATCAATAATATGCCTGCCTCTGAGTCATATGTTTGTTTGTCCTTACATTAATCGTAAAACAATGATTAATGTACTGACAATCAAATCTGTTCGCAAATAATAATAAACCTTTTTATATTTCCTTGTATTTTTATAAAGCGGAAATATTAACGAATTTTAAAGGATGGACGATACGGACGTTTTTGTGGCAAAACAATTTGTCGTGGTTCTATAATTTATCATCATTTGGGAGTGAAACGAGAGATGGCGAAAAATCCTGACATTTCCCTTCATTATACTTGTCCAAACTCTTTTTAGGAAATCTTTTTAGGAACATCAATCAAAAATAATGAATATTTTTAGGTAAGTTGATGATGTTGTTGTTGATTATGAGCTTTAGTTAAGATCGCAGCGTGCTTTCCTTTGAAACTTTGAATTAATATATAACTATAAAATTTTATTGCATTTCATAATATTTCATAAAAACACTATTTTATGATATAAACTAGGGATCCACCGTAGATTCACTTGGGTGGGATTTTAAAACGTGGCGTTATTTAGATTTGAGATAATCAAAGACCATTTATTTTATCGATTTTTCGGTTTTTCAAATAAAAATCTTAAGTTTTTCAGATAAAATATAGGCTATATTCCTTCTGGCATTGCTCTCCATGCTTCAATGCTTCCACAATTCAATAGTTTCATAGTAACTTAACAAATAGATTGCAATACGTTATTATAACGAAACATGACGAAACATGATGGCACGACACTTATATCTGATCCATACTTAGTTCCTCGCGGTGTTCCACAGGGATCTATTCTAGGTCCTATTTTATTTATTTTATATAGTTCAGACATAATTAAAAGTACAAATATTCCTGGCTGTTCATATTGTATCTCGACAGCTGTTTACAGAAGCTGAAAGATTGGGTGTGAAATTGGGTGACATAAAAGTCAATTGTCTGCTGTATGCTGATGATGCAGTGCTTATTGCACCATCAGAGGCAGAACTGCAGGCATTAGTCACGTGTATGAAAAAGGAATGTGAAATTAAAGGTCTCGGTTTGAATGCTAATAAAACTAAGGTTCTGGTATTTGAAAGGGACGAAGAGAGAACGAAGTGTGAAATATGGGTAAATCAGCAATGTCTAGAACAGGTAAATGAAATTGTATACTTGAGGAGTGCTTTTAGCCGGGATGGAAGATGTGATTTAGATGTGGACAGGCGTGTCGCTGCCGGGAACAAAGTCAATGGTGCCCTGACTGCGTTAGTCAAAAGGCAAGGCGTAGCGAAGAGTGCACGCCTTGCAATACATAACGCAGTGTTGGTACCGACTTTGTTATATGGCAGCGAAACCTGGGTATGCCAGAAGAAGCATAAAAGTAAGTTGAATGCAGTGGAGATGCGATCTCTTCGTAAAATGTGCGGCGTTAATATGGCCGAACGAAAGCGAAACGAAGAGATTCGCAATATGGCAGGTTTGAAAGATGACCTTATCACAAAAATTGATAAGGGCGTGCTTCGGTGGTTTGGGCACGTTGAGCGAATGAGTGAAGACCGAATGGTGAAGAAAATATATAGCGCGAAAATTAATATTAAAAGGTGTCGAGGTAGACCGAGACTAACTTTCGAAGACCATGTGAGCAAATTGCTCGAAGAGGGTAGGGTCAAGAGTACTCGGATACCTAGATGTGCATGCATGAAGAAGATAATGAATCTGAAAGAAGCGAAAGAGGTTTGTAAGGATCGTGACACTTGGCGATCTGTTCTCTCTGGCTACCCCGTCAGGGATTGTGCGTGAAGATAAGTAAGTAAGTACTTGCAAATATATAAATCTTTATACCCTCGAGATTGTGAATCTGCTATCAAATCATTGAAAGAAGATTTCAAACATATTTTGTTATGGTCCAAGCAGCAAAATTTTCTTGTGCTAAATCCACGAAAGTCAAAATGTTTAATACTGGGAATAAATATAAATATTGAAAATATATCACTGTTTCAGCCAGTAGTTTTAATTGATAATGAACCTATACATGAAGTCTCAGAAGCACGAAATTTAGGTGTAACATTTGATTGTAGTTTGCCCTTTGAAAGTTATGTGCTTGAGGGAGTGCGTAGTTACTTTTACCGTAAGTTAATGTACAAGTCCGGCAATACTTTAGTGTTGATATGCGGATAAGATTGTGTGAATCTTTAATACTGTCCAAATTAAACTATGCAGATGCACTACAACTACGACTGTTGAGACAGTTGACAGATATGGACTACGACTGTTGAGAAGGGCAGAGAAGCTCATACAACGGGTAAAAAATGCGTGTACTCGGTTTTGATTTACAGTCCCGTCTCGATGTCATGTAACGCCTTATTTAAACGACGGCCATATTCTTTAGATATGCACCCGTAGAAAGTTGCACCTTGCTACTCTATTGTTCTCGAAAATTATAAAGCAGAGACCGGTATATCTATTCCAAAAGTTGAAGTGGGACCGAGGCCAAAATAAATATAATACAAGAGCTTCCGCTCACCCGCTTGTAACAACTCGGCACTGCACTGCTGCATTTCAAGGCAGCTTCAAATTTGAGGCAACATACTGTTAGAAGGATTTACCACCACCTGAACGTTCCCTAAAAATATTAAATATTTTTTAAAAACAAATTAAAGTTGCATTATTTGGTACAACAAGTACAAAATACGTAATAACTAATTACGTTAACTGCAGCCGAAGGACCCAAAAAAAACCGAAACTAGTTTAAAATACTTTATTATAATATAAAAATTACAATATAATTACTATAACTAAAATATAAGTGAATCAGATCGATGCTAGATCTAGAATGAATTTTAATTAATACAGTAAAAATAAGGTAAAGGTATATTGCAGAGCTCCGGTTGCATCCGTTGACGTCAATGCTCACGTTCTGCTGAGTTGCGCCTCGTGCCGCTGCAATGTATCGGGGTCGCTGCTGTGTAGGCTCTTAACCTATGAGGCTATGTTATAACTCCTCCACCCTCAGATCAGCAACTATTTTAGAACCTTGAGAGAAAAAGTTGCTGGTAATGCCTTTTTGACTTCGGATTCTTCGGGCTTTTCATAGCTATGTAGGGTGTTATTCTGGATCTGTTCTTGCGTCTTAGTCTTGTAGTAGTAACGAACTGAGATTATGATAGCGAATATTGCCATGCTTGATAACACGGCGTAAAAGGGAATAGTGGTGTGATATAAAGTTGGGAGATCCATCTCTCTCAGATGAAGTGGTGGTTGCATCATGAGTTGGTCCTGGGCTGCGTGGAGTCCTTTCAGGTTAATTGTATTAAGGCTGATTCGTGGTACTGCTGGGTTGCTTTTTGCGTTTATATCCATTGGTATTTTCATTAGTTTCAGTGGATGGCCTTCTACTTGATCGTTAATATTAGTGATGGTGAATTCTTGTGTTCGCAGGAAGCAATTAATTGGTATTGTGGCTAAGTAACTACCCTGTAATGTAGTAATATCTTCACGCCCGCATACTGTATGGACTTTAGTTGGTTGAGGGAAAGAAATGGTGTAGTGCTTGTCGTCAAGACGTTCCATGGCTTCTTTTGATAGTGCAATGTCGGTTATCTTACAGGATTTTGCTATAGACTGATTGATGATGAGGTTCTGGATACAGTCGGATTGTGTTCGAATTTGGGTGTTCGTTTCCTTTTCGCATAGGTACCGATTACTCAACTTCGGACATTCTGTCTCCATGTACACGAATTTTTCTCTATTAGTTGCTATTAAAGGATAGGGTGGAATAATAGATTGGTGGTTTTTGTTAGGTACAATGGATAAGCGGAATAGGTCGAAGGTGTCTTTGGAAATAACAGGGAATTTTAGAACAATTACTATTTGATTTTCTGTAAAATAATAACCTGACTTAATGATATCGTAATATTCTCTAGTCTCTAAATTTAGTACATGTTCCTTATCATAAATTTGTCTTAATCTTACTAACATAGACTTAATTACCTTAACACTTAACGTAGAATGGTGGGTGCTCGATGCACGACTAAATGCTAATATATTTTCTATCCTATTAAGCTCATTGAGCATATCATCAATATTTTCTGTTAAGATTGTGAGTAGTTGGGCAAACTTAGCATACTTGATGAGGCTACTATCTCTATAAGCGGCTCTATCTAGTAATTGGATAAGCGTTGAGTTAATTTTGTTCTCGTTTTCAATTATCTGGGATATCACACTATTATGTTGTAACATCCATTCTTTACTAATGCTAATGTGACTATTGAATTCTGATTCGATCCTATCTTGGTTATCCTTCAAAAATTTTATGGCATTATTATATTTCGCGGCATCTAAATAATCTAGATTACCGGTTACACTTTTGATCACTGAGCCTAATCCGTCTACTAGACCTCTCTTAGTGCGACTAGGCTCTAAGCTATTTAGTTGTAATAATACTTTGTCTAGTTTGCTAGAAAGATAGTCCATTTGTAATTCGTACAGTAAGTTGGTGCCATTATCAAGCCTGTTCTTGTAGTTCTGTAGCTGTACCTGCAATAAGGTTACTTTGTCTCTGATGTCGTCAAGTTTTACATATTGAAGAAATGTATGATAGTGAGTTATGAGAGTCGTTGGTCCAAGTCTAAATGGTAGTAGGCCTGGTCCGTCTTCAAGATATTCAAGTTTTATCTCCTGGGCTTCGATTGTCAGCACGGTCAGTACAGTCAGTAATTTTAGAGTTCTGTAACAAATCGGCAGTTTTAGGTACACGTTTAAGTCTAGATTTCCCTATCGGACCGCGTTTCCTAGACGTGTAAATGTGTATTGGTAAGTCAGCTAGAACATGATCATGGGTGTAACGTGGGGCTAATTTTTGTCGGCTAGCTAGGGGGTTGGAAACGAAAACTTGTTGGTTTGGTTGGTATTCAACCTCTGGTTCCCGTGATTTATTCCGATTATTTATTCTGTGGAATTTATTAAGAGGTTCGTCGGTAATAGGAATTTCAAGGATCAGATTTTCTTGGCTTGTGTGGGCCGTTTGAGTAGTCGAGCCAGTGCTAGGGGCTGTTTTTACTGATGGGTTAGCTAACATAGAACACGATTCTTCGTTATGTATTTCCACCCGGGAAAGCGCATCGGCATTGGTGTTATTTTTTCCTTTTTTATATATGACAGAAAAATCGTATTCGCTTAATTTTAATTTCCACCTAGTAAGTCGTGAGTTCGGTTCCTTAAGATTCATTACCCACTGAAGGGGTTTATGATCAGTTAAGATTTTAAAAGTACGGCCAAATAGGTAGGGTCTAAAGTACTTGGTTGCCCACACGACGGCAAGGAGTTCTTTCTCTATAGTGCTGTAGTTCACTTCGCTCTCATTTAGAGTTCTAGAAGCGTAACATACAGGTTTGTCTGATCCTATGGGTCCCTGAGATAGGATGGCTCCTATCGCTACATTGGATGCGTCAGTGGTCAGGATGAATTCTTTGTTGAAGTCAGGATATTGAAGGATTGGGTCTTTAGTCAGGAGAGTCTTGCACTTTTCGAAGCAGTTAATATAGTCTGTGTCAAGAGTTATTTTTCGTCCCTTTTTTAGGCATTGTGTCAGGGGTTTGGTAATTCGAGCAAAGTCTGGGATGAACTTCCGATAATAACCTATAAGGCCTAAAAACTGTTTAATCTCTTTTGCGGTTTTGGGTAATGGATACTTTTCTATGGCTGATATTTTACTAGGATTTGGCTTAATGCCACCTTTACTAATTATATGTCCTAAATAAGCGGTTTCCAATTTAAGAAACTCGGATTTATCCATTTGTATTTTAAAGTTGGATTCCCGTAGTTTCTGAAATACTTTCTCAAGATTTACCATGTGTTCTTGCAAGGAAGTGCTGAACACAATAATATCGTCTAAGTACACGAGACAAACTGTATTTTGTAGGTCATGGAGCACGTTATCCATGACACGCTGAAACGTGGATGGCGAGTTCTTCAGGCCCATGGGCATCCGTAAGAACTCGAAATGCCCATGTTCAACGTTGAATGCTGTTTTCGGTATGTCACTAGGGTTCATTTCAACCTGGTAAAATCCACTGGCTAAATCCAAGGTTGTGAAATATTGGCAATTTCCTAACTTATCTAGTACATCCGATATATTCGGTATTGGGTATTTATCACTAATGGTTTTTTCATTTAGCTTCCTAAAGTCGACTACGAGTCGCCATTTAGTCTTGCCAGAAGCATCAACCTTTTTAGGAACTATCCAGATGGGAGAGCTCCATGCAGATTCTGACGGACGAATTATACCTTGCTCTAACATTTTACTGATTTGTTGTTTAACTTCGTCTCTATGAACGTAAGGGTACCGATAGCTTTTAGTATATATCGGTATCTCATCAGTGGTCCGGATGCTATGCTTTATTTTATTAGTAAATGTGAGCTGTTCGCCTTCTATATAAAAAACGTCGGCGTATTTGGCACATAATCTTTCTAAATTAGCGCGTTCTTCGGCATTTAGATGGTCGGTGCGTAAACGTGATAATACTTCTTTGTAATGTGGGAGTGGTTGAACGTTGTGAGAGGACTCGATGTTATACGTCTCAGCACATATTGGACGATCTAGGGAGAAAATTATATCGTGCGGAGTCGGGTTAAATACCTCTATAATACCGCGGTTATTTGACACTAATGTTAGACATTCGTTTATCACGCAATTATAGATGTATTGTTCGCTAACTAAGGCTTCTCCGTCATGGACATTAATAGGTACTTTTATTAATTTTGAAGATTGGGATGGTATCACGTCCTCGTAAAAATTAACATTTCTAGAGTTATACATTAAGATGGGGTTGTAAGCTAATCGTGTTACAAGTAATCTATCCTTTAGATCTATTCTAGCTTCCCATTTCTCTAATAGGTCGAGACCAATAAGGCCATCGAAGTAATCGTGAAATTTATAAATATATAATTTAATACTATCAGGCTCTTGGAATTCGGAAAAGCATGGAATAGTTATCGAATAATTATTCCTAGTTGTAGCATGCACATTCGTTACCTCGAAAGGATCATAATTTAAAGGTATATGTGAAAAATATTTTTGTATAGCTTCCGGATTAATGAAGGACTGATTCGCTCCGGTATCGATAAGAAATTTTAACGGAGGGTTAGAAATACATATGTATGGAAGCTGTCTCTGCGTATGTAAGTTAACTTCTATTTTGGCTTTTTTGAAAAACGAGTCTTTTGAAAATCCTGAGGCGAACTGCTTGTAGAAGGTTGGCAGTCTATGTTATCTTGTTGCGTTGTATCATTTATCTCAGTTGCGTCATGGTATTGGTAATGTTGTGTGTCGTCATAGTCATAGGTCACAGTATTGGTATAGTCGTCATTATCATTATAGTCGTAATAGTCGTATTGGTGTTCAGGATAATAGTAACTATCGTAATCAGCACATTCGTTAAAATTCATTTCCCTACTTTTGAAGTAATTTGAAGGCGGCGGGTTACCGTATTTGCGCCAGTCATGACCGGTCAGACCTGTCGGAGGCATTAGTTTAGGTACGTAATGGCTAACCCCACTCATAGGCTTCGGACCTGAGTCATGGGGTGGATTCCTATTTGGTAATCTAAACGTATTACTATGGGGTTTATAATTAGGTGGCAAAGCGCGGAACATTTGTTGAGTTCTCGTAGGCATGTTATACTGTGGTGGCACGTTAGGCCTAAAACCTTGCTGCTGTGGTACATGTAAAGGTCGCTGTAAATTGGGCATTGGTATCGGTGCAGGAAAACTGAATGGTTTTTGCAAAGGTAAGGTCATGTAGCTAGGTTGGAGAGGCTTAGGTGCTTGAGGTTTCCTCTCGGCGAAAGGTTCACCGCGTTGTTGCAAGTACATAACATTCAGTTCTTCCTGTACAAACTCCAAGGCTTTTTCAACGGTATCAGGACGCATGCAACGTATTCGTGAGCCCAGTGGCTCCTTTAAAACGCGCACGAAAGCTTGCTTCGTTACATTCTTATATAATACACGTTTGCCTTCTATTGTAGTAGGCAAGGTTTCATGAAGCGTAACATACGTCATGATAGTGCTGAACAGTGTCTGACATCGTGCATAAAAATCTTGGGGAGAGCTGTTCCCCTGAGTAGCTAATGAGAGGTCATTATAGAGCGCCGTTTCATCTCTTTGGTCCGAAAAGTTATTGATTAAAGCTGTACGAATGCCATGCCAGCTTTCAGGAATACCATTTGAATTTAAAGTAGTCGCGGCGGGTCCAGTTATTTTATTTAATATACCGTTAAGCAAACATAAGTTCGATAGTTCACGGCCAGGTTCATTACTTAGATATGCAGCACATATTTGGTCACATAATTTTATAAACCTAGTTAGTACATTAGGATTACCGTCAAACTCTGGCACTGGGCGTAAAACTTTGAAAATAGTGTCAGGGTCGTGGGCCATTTTTGATTCCTCGGTAATTATATCTAACTCTAAATAACAACTTAAATCTCTATTATAGTCTAAACTTTCTCTACGTGGCTGCCTACGCGATGTAGGGTCACAGTGGGATGATTTCCTTGGATAGAAAATTTTGACAGGAAAGATTTACACTAGGAAAAGGAAAGCAACACTAGATAAAATTCTGGTGTACTTACATAAATTTCATCTCGGTTTTCACGGGATCGATGTCTTGATGTATCCTCTTGGCTTGCAGTTGACCCGTAGTAGATTCGAATACTCGTTTAAAGCTTGAAAGCTACGATAGCCTAACTAACTTTTGAGTATTCTACCAACTGCGCCAATTACGTTAACTGCAGCCGAAGGACCCAAAAAAAACCGAAACTAGTTTAAAATACTTTATTATAATATAAAAATTACAATATAATTACTATAACTAAAATATAAGTGAATCAGATCGATGCTAGATCTAGAATAAATTTTAATTATTACAGTAAAAATAAGGTAAAGGTATATTGCAGAGCTCCGGTTGCATCCGTTGACGTCAATGCTCACGTTCTGCTGAGTTGCGCCTCGTGCCGCTGCAATGTATCGGGGTCGCTGCTGTGTAGGCTCTTTACCTATGAGGCTATGTTATAACTAACTGTCTGGAACATAATATAATGGTAACAATATTTATATTTGTTCTACACTTCTTCTTGTTCAAATATTATTGATTATTATTAATGTGTTTCTGTTATTTGGTGAATGATTATTTATTAGTTTCAATCTTTTTATCATATTTTTTTATCTTTTTCCTTTTTGTTCTGAAAATTCCAGCCGGTTTCGTTGATTACAAAATATTAAGTTATCTACTTTGATGAAAAAGTAAAAGATGTCTTGTCTTACCCATAGAATAGTCAATTATGATGTTAATATTGTTATAAGTATTTGTGTAGGTATTATTTAAATATACAGTATAGTATAATATATAAGCCTACGTGTAAAAAAAGACTTGATGAAAAAAAACGTAAAGATAGCACAAAAAAAATCAGAAAGGAAGTCAACAAAAAAAAAAAAAACAGAAAGAAAAAATCTTTATTCGCCACAAAAAAATATAATATATATAGCATCGCAATATATTTATGATAATGTAATGTATATACATAAAAACGTAAATAGCTTTAATAGGAACTAGGAACAAACATAAGCTGGTGATGCCAGTTATTAGACTCCACAGAATCAGTAATTCATTAATTTATAGTATGCGCATTTACATTAAAATCCCAGAACATATTTAAAGTTTGTCAATAAACAAGTTTAAAAGTTTTATTAAAGAAAAACTCTACAAAAAGGGTTATTATAATATCAAGGAATACATGAATGAAATAAACTCCTGGAGATAAGGTGATCGCCACCATGCTGGTTGCTTAAAAAGTCATTTAAAAATAGTATAAACGAAATTCTTGTTAAGTGAAATATGTTTGAGAAAAATGTCCCGCTGGGTTTCTTGTCCCAGGACTGGGGTAAATTTTCCGAACCAGTGGTAAATAAAAATGATTTTCAATAAGTATTATGTAATAATCAATATTGAATAAAAAAATATTCTATTCTATACTATTCTATTCTATTCATTCAGAATTAAAAAAACGAAATATAAAAAATGGTAAAATTAGAAGTTTTGTACAACAAACTTCCTTCCGAATATATCCCGGACGTCAGTCTGAGCGAGATTAGAATGGCTCTCCAGCACCTTAAAAACGGCAAGGCCCCAGGCGAGGATGAAATTACAGCGGAGCATCTGAAAGCGGGTGGAAGACCGGTACTTGAAGTCCTTCAGAGGCTCTTTAATTCCGTCCTTTTTCATTTCAATTCATTACACCGGAAGCGTGGAGCAGAAGTACGGTGGTCTTATTCTTCAAGAAAGGTTTCGACAAACCGATTTCCCATCTGAGCCGCGTCTACGTGCTGTTTTCGAGAGTCATTACGAATCGTCTCGCGCGCAGACTTGACGACTTCCAGCCTCTCGAACAAGCCGGTTTCCGAAAGGGCTTTAGCACCATAGACCACATACATACCCTTCGGCAAATTGTACAAAAGTCCGAAGAGTACATTTTGCCACTATGTCTGGCGTATGTGGACTATGAGAAAGCCTTTGATTCCGTCGAAATTTGGGCGGTGCTGCAGTCCCTTCAGCTGTGCCAAGTTGACTGTCGGTATATCGAAGTGCTGAAGTGCTTGTACAGTAGGGCTACGATGGCTATCCGAGTACAGAACCAGAGTACGAAACCTATCCAATTGCAGGGAGGTGTAAGACAGGGTGACGTTATATCCCCGAAACTCTTCACCGCTGCATTGGAAGACGTTTTCAAGCTTCTGGACTGGAAAGGATATGAGTACATCACTACCTTCGATTTGCCGACGATATAGTCCTTATGGCAGAATCCCTGGAGGACCTATGCACCATGCTCAATGACCTCAATAGTGTCTCCCAACGAATAGGTCTTAGGATGAACATGGACAAAACAAAGATCATGTTTAATGTCCATGTCACACCTATGCCGGTAGTTGTTGGGAACACTAAGCTCGAAGTTGTTGACGAGTATGTTTACCTGGGACAAATAGTCCGACTAGGTAAGTCCAACTTCGACCGAGAGGTCAATCGACGGATTCAACTCAGCTGGGCAGCGTTCGGGAAACTACGACACATCTTTTCGTCAGGCATACCTCAAAACCTTAAAACGTAATTGTACAATTGTGTTGCCAGTGATAACTTACGGATCTGAGACGTGGTCCTTCACTGCTGGCCGTATGAAGAAGCTCAAGGTCACTCAGCGAGTTATGGAGAGGGCTATGCTCGGGGTTTCTTTGCGTGATAAACATAGA